GCTCTATTTGATGTTGGGCGGCCAGTCGGACTCTGACCCAGAAGACCTGCACCAGGCTTTACAAGCTTTGGCTGGGTGGCTCAGACTGAGCAGGCTGAAATTAAACCCGGCGAAGACGGAGGTCCTGTGCTTGAGTCGGACCGGACCGGGATTAGGGCTCCCACTTCCGACCTTCGACGGGGCACCTTTGGTGCTGGCCTCGGAGGTTAGAAGCTTGGGAGTGCTCCTGGACCCCACCATAACGATGGAGGCCCAGGTGGCAGCCACTGCCAGATCAGCCTTTTATCATCTTCGGCTGGTACAGCAGTTGCTTCCTTTCCTCGACCGCAACGACCTAGCTACAGTGATCCATGTGACGGTCACCTCGAGGCTAGACTACTGTAATGCTAGCTACATGGGGCTGCCTCTGTCGCAAATCCGGAAGCTACAGCCGGTGCAGAATGCTGTGGCCAGGCTGTTGGTGGGCGCCCCTAGGTGGGAGCACACCCGACCTGTACTGAAAGCGCTGCACTGACTCCCTATAGCATACCGGATTCGCTTCAAAGTGCTGGTGCTTACCTTTAAAGCCCTACATGGCCAGGGTCCGACATACCTGAGGGACCGCATTTCTCCACATATTCCCCAAAGAGCACTTCGGTCGGGGTCACAACACCGGCTAGTGACCCCGAGCCCCAAGGAGGCCAGGCTTGCTGCAACGAGGGCCAGGTCCTTTTCAGTGGCAGCTCCTATCTGGTGGAACAAGCTCCCAGAGGAGATCAGGGCCCTGCAGGACCTTTTGCAGTTCCGCAGGGCCTGTAAGACAGAGCTCTTCCGCCGGGCATTCGAGTAGGAGCCGCCACTGCCACTACTACCACCGCTGCATTATAGAGCGATACCACCGGAGGGCCAGGTACCATCTATTAATGGCCCTAGTCCTCCCTTCTGTTATGCAAGATGGTGGGAGTTTTCTGTTCTTGCATCCTGATGAAGTTGATTTTTAATCTGTTTTTATCTATTTTATATACTGTATGCACTTTGTGCCTTGTGTAAGCCGCCCTGAGCCCGTTCGTGGGAATTGTGGGGTATAAATGCAATGAAATAAATAAATAAATATTACTACATGTGAAAAACCTGCAGAAGTCTATTTTACTACAACTTAGTATAGCAAAATAGACAGCAGAGTTATTTTTAAAATGAATGTATGAACAAGTTACATATGAATATTGCCTCTAAATGGAGTTTCCCTCTAGGTAGAAAATATGTCATGTATGAAATGGCCTTTACCTGACAGTATGTGAATACAAATAGATGTACACCAAGTGTAACTTACTATGGCCCCAGTCACACGGGCAGGAAAATGCGGGGGAGTGTGGCTGTTTGCCCCGGAGCAAAATAACGTGTGGCTGCGCAATCAGATGTCCAGTTGAGGTCCCGTCGAGGTCCTGTGGTTAGGGGGGAGGTGCCAATCACAGGACAATCCTGCGGCGCGGCAAAGAAGCTGCCTCTCTAGCAAAAGGCTCCGCGGGTTTAACCCCTTCCAGGGCTGCAGAGGAATGCAAACTGTGTCCTCCGTCGGTCCCCTCCAGGAGGAGCGTCGTCTGGACCACCCCCCCGCCACGCCCCACTGTACCTCCCCCTCTGCTGCCCAGTGCAGCTGAGCCAGGAGTGGGGGGGTACAAAAAAGAGGAGGGAACTGTGTTGTTTGTTTTTAAACGAAGTGTGTGCATGTGACGTTGGGTGCTTGTGCGCATCCCGTGGAGACTTGGAGAAAAAAACACCTTTTAGCGATAGGACATGGGCGGGCGCTGGATGCCACGACCTACCACCGGAAACGCGATCAGGCGCCCGCCCTTGCCCTGTGGTTTCCGGAAACGAGTACCTCGGAGGTACTAGTTTTTTTACCCCGCATCTTCGGCGGGAAGCCTTGGGTTCGCCATGGGAGCTGTACGCTTCCCAGATGTGGCGCTGTGACCGCGCCCGGAAAATCCGCCTATCTTCCGTCTTTGTAGCGTGGCTAATGCTCCGTGTGACCACAGCCTGTGTTAAGCTACAGTCACCTAGGGACAATTTTACCGCAGAATTGCACCTGATCAGAAACCCGGGGAAGCACAGACATGGTAAAAAATTTCCTCACTATAAGAAGCTATAGACTTCAAACTCCCCATTTGGTTTTTGGCTTCCTGTAAAGGCCACTACATTAATTTACATTCTTCTGGTTTATTGTGTATTTTGCTTCATCTATACCCCTGAATGTCTCTTGCCTTGAAAACCCTACAGGGTTGCCATATGTCAGCTGTGACTTGACAGCTCTTTCCACCACATACCCTGCCTTTCACAAAACAGCTTAAATTGTTCTCCTCTCCTTCATTTTATCCTCACAGCAACACTGCAAGGCAGGTTAGGCTGACAGCATGGCCCAAGGTCATTCAGCAAGCTTTCATGGCAGAGTGGGAATTTGAACCTGCCCTCCTCCCAAGATCCTAGTCTGACACTAGGGAGGGGCCATGGCTCAGTGGCAGAGCATCTGCTTGACATACAGAAGGTCTCAGTTTCAATCCCTGGCCTCTCCAGATAAAAGAATCAGACAGTAGGTGATATGAAAGACATCCGTCTAAGACCCTGGACAGGCTGCCAGTCTGAGTAGACACTACCGACTTTGATGGGCCAAGGATCTGACTCAGTGTAAGGCGGCTCATGAGCTCATGTGACACTCTAAACACTACAGTTCACCGGTTTGAAAGTTGTGTTAATGTTTAAACAAATGTTCCAAACACTACACTCAAAAGCTCGCACAATGTTTTGAGTCACTTTGGTTGGTCCTCATAAAAGTCATTACGAGTGTTTTGATTTCTCTTTGTGGTCGGCTATTACCGTGGTGTCACTGACCAGCAGAGGGCTCCCTGTCTCCAGAGGTGCATCTTTGTTCACAAACACACAAGACATGCTATTGCAGATCTGGCTACCTGTCTACTACTGTTGAGTTTAGAAGACCAATTCATAGCCTTGAAACAACTTTTACAACAGAACTATGAAATGTTATAGAAGTAGGATCTCCTCCCATATTAAGCTACTTAAAGAGATGTGCCATTTTGAGCAAAACCAGTTACATGTCTTAAGAACCCTTCATTCTGTGCAACAGAGAGAGATCTGGGGTTGATGGTGACTGATGATAAATCAAAGGTATGTGAAACCTTTAGAGAAAGCTATACCCTCTCTGGTCTCTCCCTCTTTAATGTGACTAAGTCTGCTCTTGTTAACCTCAAGGGGTTAGATACCTCAGGAGTGAAAAGCTGCAGCAGTGAGCCCAGCTAGTTTTAGTTGGGGGCTGATTTGCTAAACTCACGTGTTGTTGGGATTGCATAAGATGAGTCCAGCAGAGCAGTGCAGACAGCTGAGCCCCAACAAATCCCATGCAAAACTGGGAACTCAATGCTGTAGATGTATTCCTTCTGCTAGAACTTTAAAATCTCCTGGCCAGAAATGGAGAAGTGCCAACGGTAGCCCTGGAGGTAGAATATCTGGCGGTCTATCTGGGGCTCAACTGCTGGCATGACATGCAAATACATAAAAGGTCTTACAAAATCCTTTCATGTTTCTGGACAGCTGCACTGATTCTCTTGTTGGGTGCTTTTAAAACGCCAAACAAGGCTTGTTTGCTTTTTAAAAAATTAGTGCTCTTCCCATTTTCATTCCAAGGAGGAGGAATAGAATCTCAGCTACAAACTGTGCAACCTCTCTTGCATTCTCCTGCTGTTAATGAATCAATTGAAGGTTTTTATTTCAGTGGAAATCACAAACCTCTAAGTTTCTCTGTCTTTTTAGGTATTTAAAGAAAACACCCTACTGTGCTTTGTTTTTTGTTCAAGCCTCCTTATCTCAGGCTTAATGAGGGCAGCACAATCCCTGACTCCTTGAGGAGAATTTGCCTAATGCCTTCATCCTGGGATTTCTCCAGCAAGATCAAAGGCAAAGCTTCCGAGCTTCCTGGAAACTCTGTACTGCCACCCAGTCAGCCAGCCAGTTAGTTCAGAGAGAGAGAGAGAGAGAGAGAGAGAGAGAGAGACAGACAGACAGACAGACAGACAGACAGACAGACAGACAGACTACTCACATATCATCTACAAAGCATGGATAGGGCATTTGTTGCAGGTAAATCCCTGAAGGCACTTCAGCACTGGTTTGGGTTTTGATAATGCCATGCTCAATCATATCTTGTAGGTAGGCAAACCCTCCCCAGATGTAACGTAAATCATCGACCGGGTCAGCTCTTGGACCAGGATCCCAGTACCTGTGAAGGAAAAACACATACTTAGCCAGGAACCTGATGGGGGAATGTGGTTCTGACCAGTGGGTTTTTAAAAATTATTTACAGTTCTGAGAGGTACCATTCAGAATTCAAAGGTGGCAACATTACCTTACTGTGCCCCACTGATTTAACTCACTCACCAAGCCTTCTCTTTTTCTACTATTCCACAAGACTGGGTCTAGAAATAAATTCAGCTCTGTATCAATACGGGAAGCAAGACTATACAGTATCCATATGCACCTATCTGTTTGAAAGCCTCCTTCGACTCAGGAGCAGCTCTATCATTAGTTCTGGCACTTGTGCCTCGTTGTTAGCCACCCTGAGCCTTCGGGGAGGGCGGGATATAAATCAAATAAATAAATAAATAAATGGTGGTTTTTGAAATGTCAATTATTTTATTTATCATTATATTGTTTCCACTGAGGCCAGGTATAGCACTAAACATCCTATTTGGATATTCTGCCTCTGGATCCAGATGTCTTGAGCCATCACTGTACCACCTTGTTCTTAGGGCCACACAGCAGGCAAAGACTTGGGTCATACACACATTATGAGATGAAAGGAAGCCATCACCTGTCTTTGATTTTGTTTGTTTTCTGCACCGCATCTATATCCATACGTATCTTGTACGTCACATGAGGTGGCAACTGGTGGCTTTCTGGGTCCAGGTTAGGAAAGACAACACCAGCCCAAAATTTGTTTTCCTCCAGGAGGTAGACAGCACGATTAGTGATTTGAGCTTCATCAGCATAGCCTTCAAATTTATCAAGGTTCAAGCACTGTGGAAAGTCATAAATGTGGAAGACACATTGGAATAAACCAGCCAGGCATATACATTAGGAATATAAAATGACGGCCCCTTTGATGTGATCCAGATATCCAATGAGTAAAATAGGTTCAACATCATTTTATTCCTTCTTACTCTAATTATACATCAGCATTACATACAGAAGTAGATTAACTGCCATGGCTTCTCTCATACAACAATAAGATGTGGGAGAAATTGTTGGTTATAAATTCATTCATTCAGACATTTTCCCCCAGAAAGAAACTGCAACTTGGAATGAATCTCTGACACATCTCTCTCTAGATTTTTGATGGCAGAGGGGACAAATCTCTTTGACCCTTCCATCACCCACCCATGGGAAAAAGTAGGGTTTGGGAAGATTTCCAGTTGCTGAGAAAGGGAGTTTTACTGTGCTGAAATAAGTATAGCACTCCTTTAATCAAATGGTGATTTCTCCCTATGCTGAAGGGGTAGAAAAAAGGTAGAAGTGAATAACAACTGAAGATGTCAAAAAATTCCTAGTCCTCTCACAGAACCACAGTTCCAAGAGTTCCTTGTTGGGAGCCACACAAGTTCATAGGCTTGAAACCAGCTATGGGCCTGTTCTCATGCATAAGTGAAGTGATTCATAAAATTGGGATTAAATGATACACAACCAAAAGCCATCCTAAAATTCTGCACCTTATAATAACACCATCCCATATTGCAGAAACTGAATGGAGTAATAAAAACTTCAGAAGGTTGTTCATTAATGAGGTGTCTTGCCAGCAAAGATAACAAGAAAAGAACACCAAAGCTGAAACTTTCATCTCAGTATACCACACGGAAGGAAGTTAACCAGCCAAACTGGCACTTTAATATACAAGTAGCCAGGAAAACACTGAAAACAGAGAGGATACCCGAGACACAGTTTGCTACAGGGAATGGGCACATGGTTCTTATAACTTAATTTTTATTTCATTTATTTAGAAATTTATACCCCACTTTCCTGCCTGATAAGGACCCAATACGTCATTTCCCCCTCTTCCAGCTTATTTTCACGACAACAGCCTCATGAGGTAAGTTAGCCTAGGAATGTGTGACCAATGGCCCAAGAACTAAGATTCCCAGCGAGCTTCCATGACAGAGCAGGAATTTAAATTTGGAACTCCCTAATTGTAGTCTGAGATTCTTGACTACATTGTGCTGGCTCAGTTCTGAAAAATGAAGGAATTTATAGGAGTGCCAGACCCAGTCTGGCAATCATTGGGAAACCAGGTGTGTGTGTGTGTGTGGGGGGAGCAACAGTTTGACAGCAACAGTTTGACAGCACTTGTGGCTTTTCTCCAGAAGTGACATCAGTAGTCTCTAGGAATCACCAGATAGTCTATGGAAAAACCATAAATCTGACAGCATTTTTTTTGTTTTATTTTTCTTCCACTGCTGCTCAGAACAAAACAGGAGATGGGGCAGGGAATCCCCTACTCCCAGAGGGGTGTGGCAATCCTAGTCCAACTTGTTTCATTCATTTTCCAGCTATAAACTAGAGTCCTATTCATTGTCTTTTCTCAAAGAAGCCTTAAGATTTGATAGCATGGACAACAGCCAAGCAGCACCTTCTACTTCTCCATTGTCACAGAAATCTATTGACGAACAATCTCAGACAAGAAAAAGCTACTGCAAGATCATGTGTAGTAATTGCACATTTGTTTTGCTGCTTCTCATATCTCATGGGTAGAGGGTCATTTTGCACCATATGAAGCAAACACTTTAACCGATTTCCCACTAGCCGATGCTCCGTCTGCACTCTTCCTTCCCCCTCCCCCGATTCTACATGTCAATTTCCCACCTCATCTTCCTTCTACATGTCAATTTCCCACCAGTTGCTGTGCAGCCGCATTTTGCTTCGCAGCTTCACCCAATTTCCCCCATGTCTTCTTGATCTTCAAAAAACATGATCGAGAAAACACGGGGAATATCGGGTGAAGCTGCAGCCGCGTAGCAACTGGTGGGAAATCGACACGTAGAATCAGGGGAAAGGAAGAGCGAGGACGGAGCAATGGCTAGTGGGAAATCAGTCCTAGTACATCTGGCAACCTAACCTAGGAAGACTTATATGACCAAGAAAGTCATGTTGCTGTGATCTGCTTAATGAGGCTATATCCACATTTAGGAACCAAGGGTATGAACTGGCAGGAGCATTTTCACCTATATGATCTGTAAGCATGGTTGACCATCTCTCCCAAGTGACATTTTGGGATTAGGTAATACTGGCCATTGTCCCTGATCCTGGGCACATAATAACAATTTCCTCCCACCAGCACTGAAAGTCTTTTTATTATTTTTTTAATTGACACTAGAATATTATTATACCAATATAGCATTGTAATAATAGCTGTAGTGGATTCTCTGAATTCTCAGCTTTCATTCTCTTTTTTAAAAAAACAAAACCATAAGTCTCTATCCCCTTCTCTTGAGGAGATATAAGGAAACCTCCAGAGGAACTGGTTGGCCACTGTATGAAACTAGATGGACCACTGGCCTGATCCACCAGGGCTCTTTCATAAGAATATAAGAAGGCATATAATCACAAGGGTTAAGGCTACAAACTTACACCTATAGTTACAACTTCCTTTTCTTTTTACTGTCAAGTCACAGCTGTAAACTCCCTTTTGGGTTTACAAGGCAAGAGACTTTCAGCGGTGATTAGCCATTGCTTGCCTTTGCATCACAACTTTGGTACTCCTTGGAGTTCTCACATCCAAATACTAGCCAGGGCCAACCCTGCTTAGCTTCTGAGATCTGATAAGAACAGCCTAGTCTGGGCTGTCCAGGTCAGGGGATAGTTACTATAGTAGATCAATATAATCTGGGGCTGCGGTGGCTCAGGTGGTTAAGACGCTGAACTGCAGACGGGAAGGCCGGTAGTTCAGCAGTTCGAGACCCGAGTGTGCCGCATGACGGAGTGAGCTCCCTGGTCCCAGCTCCTGCCAACCTAGCAGTTCGAAAGCAAGAAATTGCAAGTAGATAAATAGGTACCACTTCAGTGCGAAGGTAACAGCTTTCCATGCGCCTCGGTGTTTAGTCATGCCAGCCACATGACCACAGAAATGTCCTGGGACAGTGCTGGCTTGTCGGCTTGGAAATGGAGATGAATACCGCATCCCTAGATGCTGCCAATGCATTAAGCCACACGACTCAGTGACAGGAAAGCTGTTCAGGGCCTGGAGCAGCTTCCTGACACCACAGCAACCATGGCTGCTAAAGTAAGGACAGGGAAGAAAGAGAGATGGGGGAATACTGACAAGAAGGGAGGCCAGGAGAAATAGAGAGGGAGTAGGTTGACAGAGAAGGGGGGGGACACTGATGGAAAAGGGGAGGGGGAAGGGGGGGAGGTTGACAGATAAGGGGAGGGGACGAAAGAGAGGTGGGGAAGATTGACAGAAGGGCAGGGCATGAGAAGAGGGGGGAGAGTTTTAGAGAAGAGGGAAGAGGGAAGGAAGCAAAAGTGGGGGAAGGGATGCACCATCCCCACAGGTTTCTTGCAGGTCCCCACTTGCAATATTCTAATATCAATTTTTTAAAAAATTGCAAAAGCCCTGGTGGACCGGGGGAGGAGGGTGGTCACTTCTGGGGGACTGGAGCAGGGGAAATGCAGCAAAGCCTTCTATGTGGAGGGCCCACTGCTGCTGCCCTTTATCTGCAGCTGCACCAGCAATGGGGAACCACAAAATCCTATCCCCTTATGGAAACCACCCTGTGATCTTCTGAAACACCTCCTACTCCAACAAAGTGGAGGAAAGGAAGAATGGACTCTTCCCTTTGGGCAAGAAGCTAGTGGCTGCTGGGAAACAGACTGGTAGGTACTATGTCAATGACAGGCATCACGTGGGGAATCACTGCATTACACCACACTGGGTTTCAGATTAAATGATTTGGTGTTATACAGAGGTTAAGAGCATAAATTTCCTGTATGGTCTAAGGTGAGTCACTACAATAACATGATTTGATAGCATTTATTTAACACTTCAGAATGTTCAAAGAACTTGACGTACATTATCACTGTAAAATTTACAACAACCTTGTAAAGTAGTCTAGTTATCCCTATATTGCAGATGGGGGGGGGGTGAGAGGCAAAGGCATGATTAAGGCACCTAGTGAGTTCACATGGCAGAAGTGAGATGTGAATAGTGGTTTTCCCAGTTCACTTCTCAGTATCATAGATGTATAAGTTTGCTATGTGGCATTTTTTCTAATTGCTCAAACCACTTCAACATGTATTATCCTAGTAATTCTAATAACTCTGTAAGATAGGCCAGTGTTTTCATGCATATATTAAAAGGGGGGGGGTCTAAGGTAAAAACTTATTCAAAGTCCCCCCAATGAGTTCATAATGAAGCTGAGATCTAGCATGACAACTTCCACTTTAGAGAACTATGCCACATTTGTTCTTACAACAGACATCATGCCACAATTCAGCCTTCATGTAATGGTATTTAACTAATTTGCTAGATCAAAAAATACAGTATTTACTCAAAAGGAAGATGACCTGGAATGTAATGTGGCCCCTTTAAAATGTTATAAGCACACATACACATGTAACTGGACATAATGGTAGCTTGTATGCCAATATAAGACGACCCCTCTTTTTTGTTTTTTGATGGCATACCTGGGAATAAATCAAGACATCTTGCACTTGAGCAAATACTGTAGCAAATGGAAACTGCATAAATGGAACTTCAACATACACACACACACACACACACACACACACGTATCATTCTTATACTTCCTACCTCTGAAATTAGAGAGTCATTACCTGGTTCTCATTTTGGAATGTGAGGAGACAGCATTCAGCTCCCAAACTGACTGGGAAGAAATGTATTTAATTACCTCACTTCACAGATTGCCACAAAGCTAACTTGTTTGATCTTATCTTCTTGATGGTCTCTTGCAGGCCAATAACCAATAATTACTCTACTTCAAAGTGTTCACAGGCAAGTTGTTATTTAACAGACAGAAAACTCTGTAATGTAAAGACTGCTTTGTTTATCCTTGTCATCTGAAGAAACTTTCTCCATTTTGTTTTTACAGGATGGTCAAGGGGGGTGGGGGGGTCTTTGAAAAGAAATCAAGTTCCTATGGAATTCTGAAATGATAATATTCCAAAAGATACCCTGACCTTTAAAAGGATATGCCAGCCTGTACAGTTGTTTTTAAAAGGATGCATTAGTTAAGACATGCATTTAATTTAACTTTATTATTACTATGCTTATTATATGGAGCACGGACTGGAGGCACGGAAACCCAGGTTTCCTGTCTCAATTCCAATGCTGATTTCTCCATGCCTACTACCTCTCTACATACCACACCTAATCCAATCACACCTGCTATTGTCATTCACCTGCTATTGTCATTTGGCATCTGAAATCACTCCACTCTCCAAGATATAAAGACTGATGGACTCATATTCTAGCTGTAGCTGAAGAAGCGAGCAGTTACTCACAAAAGCTGATTACTCACAAAAGCTGATAGTCTTTAAGGTGCTACTGGCTCTTTTATCTTGCCACAGCCAGAGTAACATGGCTACCCAACTTGATAGAGCCCTCAGCTATACAAATGTTTTCCCTGAGAATTTTTCTTTACCACTCTCAAAGACTGCAGAAAGCTGCAATTTGCATTGGAACTCTGAGTGGGTAAGGGGAAGATGCTTATCTCTTTCC